AACCATACATCAATGGAAAGCTTATTTATTCAGCTTTCAGATGATGTATAAATCTGACCCTTAAAAAAATGAGCCTTATGACTGGTTTTGTGGTCCAGGGTCACAATTGGGCTACCTTTAAACGGTTGCCTCGGGTTATGGTTTGACATATCCATAAATTGTATTGCTGAAATGCTTGTATTGAAATATTTTTTATTCTACCAATGATAAATCTGCACTAGATGTTCAGTTTTGTGAAGGTGGTAAGGAACCTTTTAGCTGTGTTTAACACATACATACAAACATACAAAACTACCAAATTTTGCTATAAGTTTGATCGCAACATATAATCATTGCTGTTAATAGTGTTCACCGTCTGTTTGATTACATGTCATTAACTGCATGATTTTTACTGTACATTTCTGCCATATGGAAATCAACTTGAGATAGTCACCACTGATAAGCTACTACTAAATATAATGTAGAAACTTTAATTTTCTGTAAAGCTGCTTTGCAACGATTTGCATTGTGAAAAGCGTTATACAAATAAACATGAATTGAATTGTTTATGATCATTGCCATATAGTGGTTTTCAGTTTGCATAAAGGTGACTGTAAAATATGTACTTTAGGTAAGGGAATTGCATATTTTGAGTTTTGATATTTGGGATATGTCATTGGGCTACTTTTGTATGCAGACCTGGCAACCCTGGCTCCGCGAAGATGACTTCCAAACAAACAAAACTGTAATTCACTCCCATACGGTTGTCACTCCTGAAAATTCACAGTGTGTACATGGCCTATGAAAGTTAAAGAGTTGCATATCCCTAGTGAAAAATAAATACTTAATATACGTGAAATACATTTATTTCATGCTAAGTTTACTTATACTTTAAAGTCTATAGATATTATTCAAAGATCATACAATCCTCATCAAAAGTGACATTAAAACACATTTTAGACTTAATATTAAGAAAAGTGCATTGTGCACAAGTAATATGCCAAGTAGAGTTTAATTATAATTTTAAATCTGTAAGTCTCGAGTTATCTGTCAGTAAATATGTTAATAGATTTGAACTATACTTAGTATGAAATAAATGTATTTTAAATATATTACTTTTTTATTAGGGATGCCATTCCTATTTGACTTTAAAGTTAAAGTTTGTGTTCTCAGCAGTGATTCTGATTACATGCTGGTTGAACAAGGAGTGAGTTTGAACTGATATGTTTTGGGAAGCGGTGAACAGACCTGCCTGTGAGGGAATATTGTTCCCGGAGGGGATGTGTTGCTTTTGTCCTTAATGAAAAACATTTCTCAACCAATTTATGGAATGAAGACGTGCAGAGCTGTTTTGAAGCCCATTTGTTTAATTTATTTACTCCGAGTCTGTTGTTTTCTTACTGGAGTTTGTAAAAAGGTTTTACAGAGAGATTTTACATGTGTACTGCCGTGAGCAACAATCTTAAAGAGTAAAGTGGACCACCCAGGGATCTGTGTGGAGATTAAGCATTAAAATGTAGGGGACAAGGCCATTGAACTAGTGAGAGTTTGTTAAATTGTGGATTGTGACAAGTTTCTGTGAGATGTAGCTTGTCTAATATGATGCCTGTGAAATATCACTACTTGAAAAAAGCATTTGAATGTTACTTTAACCACACCTGCATGTTGATAGTCATCAGCTTAAAGCTTTTCCTCTGATTCATGAATTCTTTTTAGACCTTGTAACGTTTAAAGTGGCTACTTTCATTTTTCTTCAAAGGAGTTAGTGTCCTAAAAATAGAAATTGTCATTATGTCAGCCATGAATTTATATTTCTGCCTTATACGACTTTATTTCTCTTGTGGAACATAGAAGTAAAAATCTTGACACATTTTTTCCGTACAATAACAGTCTATAGTGAACACTTCTGTCAAGGTCCAAAAAGGAAAAAAAAAAAAAAAACATCAAATAGTATGTGCTTTTAACAGACAGCATTTTTTTTTTATTGTTTTTTATTTTGGGGGCAAAATATTGAGAGATGAACAAAAAACATCCCTCAAAAGCCTGACGATCATATTTGAGACTCTCATTTCAAACATGATTTTTCAAAAAAAAAAAAAAAGATTTATGGATAATCAAGTTATGGCATGTAGTAGATTTTAGCAAAGTTTTGATCTTGTTAATAATTTAGAGGCCGATTTGCATATCAACTATGAGACAGTAGGCTTAAGGGTTAAAATTACAAGCAAAAGTATCAGCATAGGGTTTTAAAAAAACATGAGGATGAATAATGATGACAGAACTGTCATTATTAGGTGAATTATTCCATTTAACTCGGTCATTCCAGATTGCATAAGTTCTTATTTTACAACCCTTGTAGATTTGCGTGCATTTTATTTATGGTCTTTTGCTTTTAATATATAGGACAGTCAAGGGAGGGAGTAACGCTGGGAATATAGTGGGGGAAATGTATTGGCACATAATGCAGTCTGGACTCACATCATCAAAAACCGAACACATGCTTTACCTGCCGTTCAGCTGGAATGCTGTGTTTTGTTTTTGTGGGACATTTATTATTGATACTGACACTTTAAACTTTTGTTTCGGCTCATTTTGCTCCAGTGCACCAATGGTTGTTTGGATCCTCCAGGTGGTCTTTGATAAAACTGAGCTGGGAGGTAATGTTATTGTTGGAGACCAGTGATTATTCAGCAATGCAAGTCTATCTTGTTCCTTTTCAGTAAATTTATGAATTAGTGATGGAGACTGTGCATTCATTGACTCTTTCACCAGTAGGGGGCGAATGAATACCTGAAAGCCAATGAAAGTCAATGCCAGTCACATTTGAAGACCCTTGGGAGCTTCACCAAGTCCTTTCGTACTTCATGCTTTGAGATTTAACATTGAAAGGTTTCTGAGGAACCCTTACAGGGGTGTTAAAATTGCTCCATTTGTTTGCTTTACTATGGATTTATGGAGGTCAAAGTTGTTAGCGGCGGTTTTGTAACAATGTTACATCCACAAGAGTGTCAACCCCCAAATGTCTTTTCATCAGAGATTTATAAATGCACTCCTACAAACCCACAAACTCTCAACGTATCCCATGCGGTTTAATAGTTTTTCCAACAAATACAGAATGCTATATCCATGCATTCAATAAAACAACAGGCCACAAGTTGATGTACATTACAGAGATTTGAGTTTTTTCCTTTGGCTTTTGTTTAATTAGCGTTTTCCATCACTAGGATGAAGGTCAGCCCATATTCTAGATCAAATTTGTGCTATACACTTAGCAAACTTTCTCTCACGATCCACCTCAATGTGTATGTGTCACGGTCTTAGCCGTGCATTAGCATGCATATGCAATGACGCATGGCCCTCTTCATGTTAAACAGATGATTCATGCTTATTTCTGCTGTATTTTGTCAACGCCTGGCTGGTTTAAATCCATTTCCCTTAGAGCCTCGGAGTAAATCTGCCGAACTTTCAGACTTACAGAGCGTGAAGAGAATTAATGTCAGAGAGAATTGAAACATAAAACTAATCCTGACAGCTACAGACTTACGACACAATGGCGGATTCATTTTATCCCGTACAAAAGCACACTCAAAAGTGGAAATATGCTTTCTCTCACTGTCTATTGGTCTGAGGACTTACATTGTCTTTAATGCAGTGGTTAGAACTTCATCTTCCATGAATACAACCGCTAACAGAAGTTAAGCCATCATGAAACGGCTATTGCAACCCGTTTTACTTTCATAATGTGATGCATTCTGAAAGAACCACAACATTTAGTGGAAATAAAGATGTACAACCACATTTTTATTTTTCAGTCCATTGGGAATGTGTGCTTTTGTACCAACCACTTTTAATATGGACACACAAATGGTCATTGATTTGAGTTAATAGTTGACTTGTGTGAATAAACTAGCACTTTATTTAGTTACTGTGTCACGCAACCATAAACTCTAACATAACACTTCAAATTATTGTCAGGAAATCAAAAAGTAAAAGCCATCAGACTGATTGAAGTGTGTTGAGATGGGTTCGCTATTACAACGTGGTATTTATAGAGCATCCAGAAGTGGCACAGGTGTGTGTAATTATGTATTCAACCAATCAGCTGCCATCTCTTAAAGTGGCAATCAACCAATTATATCCACTAGAGTATATGGGCGGATGCAGATGAAATGCTAATGCAGCAACAGGTGTCTAATATGATGGTTTGGTCTATTTTTTTGCTCATTTGTCTTGTTTCTGTATTGGAATGACCCATAAAAAGTATCTTGCTGTGTGCTGAACAGCATACTACCATACTACTCCATTCTTGAAAACTGTATCCCACAATGCAGTGCTTTTGATCTGCTGTGATTCTGAACATCTTTTATTATTTTTGCACAAAATTGGATTTAAATACATATTTTAAAGTAATTTTAAACCCACTTTCTTTTTTTTCTTTTTAGTTTTCACCATCCATTAAGTGATTTAAGGAATTGTGACTTTCTTGTTTTGGATGTTTTGATATATGTATATGTGTATATATATATATATGTATATGTGTATATATGTGTTCAGAGAAAATGCATTTCTCTTTCGTCTTTGTCTGGTTGTAGGGTCATCCTGGATCACTGAAGGTGCTGATTGAAGTGGATGGAGAGCAACTGCTACTTGCTTTGCAGAAAAATGAGTAAGTCCTTCATTAATCTGTCACTTTACCAAATGTATACCATAGTACAATGATGGGAACAGAAGATAATACCATGGTACTTTGATTATACTATGGCAGGGGTTTTCAATCTTTTAGAAGCCACAGACCCCCAAATATGATCATCCTCTTGTGAAGGACCCCATCATAAAAAAAAATATATATATATATATACAGTGGGTACGGAAAGTATTCAGACCCCCTTAAATTTTTCTTATTTATTTATTTACTTTTTCTATTACATTATGTTTTTCCAACCCCCTGTAGTACTGTACTGTTTGAATTAATTAATTTATTTATTTAGTCATTTATTTTAATAGTTAAATTTTTAATAGTTTTTATTAAGTTTTGCTTTTTAATTATTAGTTATTCATTTTTACAGACTAAGCAATCCTGTGCAGATACCACAGTATATACATGTCGCTTAAACAATATCATAGTATTTATTTTGTAGCCATACTTTCTTTCATCCTAATCTGAATCCATTCATAGATATAAATGCATGGTATCTGTGTTGGCAGTTCCTTTTGTATGACAGAAAATGCCTTCACAATTTTATCGTAGTTGCAACACTATACAATTAATATGTAATCACTTTAAAAACAGAATCTGAATCTTTCTGCCATTTTATACAAATTTATTTTTTATTACAGTTCTGGCTAATACTAAATTGCGGTTTTATTGTACTCTTTTTGTGGTAGTTTTGGGGTTTTATCAAAGTTTTGACCATTGACCTAGAACATGCATGAGTGTTGCAGCAATATATGCATGAGCATAAATGAAAGCAAACTTTTGCCATTTAAATATGACATACTATGGGGCCACCGTTTGTTGACACTTATTTAGTGTATATTTAACAGGCTTGTCAGTTCTTGCATCATTATGTTGCTCAGAATAAAATACCAGAGACGATATTAGTTTAGTCCGTATTTTAGTTTGGTGTTTGATTCCTACATAAGGCACTTGTAAGTATGCCTTGTAAGAATCCATGTATTTTTGCTTCTGAAGGTTGAGCTGATGCTCTAAGTCTGTGTTTCAGAGGTGTAAGACCAGTGTGGTGCGGTCAATCAGGTCGGTGTAATGAAGCTCGTGTCAAACGAACCCTTGCCGGCTCTGTTTTTGAATGCAAATGAACATTCGCCTTGACAGCTTCATGCCGGAGGCGACAAAACGCCACAAGAGTCTAATTACCGAATCGACCGATTCCCGTGCTCTTCATCTGACATGCAGCATATCATCCAGAGAGCGAGACGGTGGGAGTGTAGGTTTGAAGGGTAGGTGAGCGGTAATGACGTAACGGGTCTGAGAACTCACCTCTGAATTTATTCAGGTTGATGGTGAGAGTGATTGAAACCCCTTCTCTGGTATGAGCATGTGTGAATGTCAACCAGAGCGTGGAGAGGAAAAAAGAAACATTCAGAGACTGCGGCATATTTAAAGTTGCAGGGGGGCGAAATTATACTGTGTAAGTGACCTTGAAGTTATAGACTAACTAGAAGTTATAGGCTACATGCACAGTGCTGTTAAATACAGCCCAGATCTTGTTTTCTTATATGAGACAGGACACTAAAATTGTGTTTTCAGTTCTGATCTTGGCCACCGTGACTTCAAAGTGTACATTGTACAAAATCTGAGTCCAAATTTTAGGCATTTGATGTAATCAGATCTACTTGTTCAGACATTGTATCAATATCTGTCATGTTAATGATGATTTCAGTAACTGTCATCATGGAAAAAGACTGCATTTATTGGATCAGAAATACCAGGGGGAAAAAACTGTAATATTGTGAAAAAATATTATTGCAATTTAAAATAACTGTTTTTTTTTTTTTATGTGAATATATTGTAAAATGTAGTTTATTCTTGTGATCAAAGCTGAGTTTTCAGCATCATTACTCCAGTCTTCAGTGCCGCATGATCTTCAGAAATCATTCTAATTTGCTGCTCAAGAAACATTATTTATTATTATTATTTTCAATGTTGAAACAGTTCTGTTGCTTCATATGTTTGTGGAAACTGTGATACATTTTATTTTTCAGTATTTAATGAATGGAAAGTTCAAAAGATCAACATTTATTTGAAATAGAAATCTTTCGTAACATTATAAATGTCTTTTATTGTCACTTTTGATCAGTTACAGTACATTCTTGCCGAATAAGCATATTCATTTCTTTAAAAACGTTTTGAACAGTATTATATACAAATGTTTTATAGACCGAAAACCAGCATTGCCATAAAGCCTGCTTTCCACAAAACTTCAGTGTTATTGTGACTTTTGGCTGAGGTTGCAGTGGTCAGACAGTGTTGTGTGGAAATTAAATCCAGCATTTGTTATACTGTATAAGGAAGAGAGCGAGTGAGAGAGATCTCGTGTGAGTCTCCTGCTCCAGTGAAGCTGATGAATTCCAGTTGTTGAAACTGGATGAAGCAAAGCAGAGCAGAAAAAACTTTTGTCAAATGAAATTATCAAAATTGAAAGCTCAGATATGTTTTTCATACTCTCTTATTTCAGCACAAGAAGTTCAAAACGTTGTGGGAGGTGCTCGGCACACTGATTTACAGGGTCAAAGACTTCAGTTCTTTCTTAAGCAGCAATGAAGCACATGTGATGACCGCCCGTTTGTTTCTTATTTTCCTACTCTTTTAGTCTATGAATGCTTGATCGCGGTTTAGTCACTGTATGACTACGGCCGAGACAAAGCAGTAGATGTTCACTGAAATAGGTTATGCATGTTTTCTGTAGGAAACACGAGTACAGCATGAGTCCTATATTAAGTTAGAAACAGTCTCAATAGAATATGATATTTTAAGGGCCAAGGGTCATGCGTGTGTTTATTATAGGCATAGTTCACGCAAAAGTGAATATTCTGTTATTTAGTCACCCTCAAGTTGTTCCAAACCTGTATGAGTTTCTTCTGCTGAACACAGAAGAAGATATTTTAAAGAGTTGCTGGTAGCCACTGACTTCCATAGTAATAATACTATGATAGTCAATGGCTGCCGCAACTGTTTGCTTACCAACATTCTTCCATTGATTTCCATAGTATTTTCACCCTTTTTTCCCCCGAAGTCAATGGCTACTGGCAACTCTTCTTTAGTGTTCAACAGAAGAAAGAAACTCATACGGGTTTGGAACAACTCGAGGATGAGTAAATGATGACCGAATTTTAATTTTTGGGTGAACTATGCCTTTTTATTGGAAGACCGTATTAAGACACATAAAGCTGAAATAAACTGTCAAAAATCGCTCTACGAGCTCCTCAAACTCAGTTCATCTAGATAAGAACATGAATTGAATTTAATCTTCTTGATTTTATTCAAAGCCCCTAATTAAGTTTAATTTCTGTGAATAACCTGAACTGGAAATGGACTTAAAATTGGATCTTTTTCTCTTCAAAGAACAGAACAAAGTACATTATTCATCTGCCTAGTCAAATACGAAAGTATAATTTTGCGAACAGTGGGGTGGCATCACTCGTGTAGTTTCTGAGATTGTAGGGAGAATTGAATTGTAGGGTGCGTTACGGAATTGCACTAACTAGGGCGCATCATATGTTAGTGTACAGGTTATTTAGTGCATTATTTATTCTGCATACTCAAGTCACAATCTTAATTGGACCTGTAATATTTAATTTAAGCGAAACAAAAGCCTGCGGAAGAGATTTTTGGACTGTTGCCATGGTAACGCGAGGGGCGTGTGAGATACAGACTGGGGTGGAAAAGGAGACAACCTCACTGGAAAGCCTCTCATGAGCGCTGGAGACGTGTTATTATCAGAGACATGAACTCTCAATGTGTCAGACAGCAGAACAAGAGCTCCACAACACCTTCTCTCTCACATTATCATGAAGCGATTAAACCCCGAGCGGATGATGAATACGGACTCCAGCAAAGTGTTTCAGATGGAACACAGAGGCTGATTCAGAGGAACATAAGAAGATAAGATGCACATGTAATGTAATCATATAGTTTAAGCAAACCACTTCTAAAACTTGTGTGAAAGTTCTGTAAAAAGGAAAAAAAATATGTTTACACTAATGGGTAAATACTGACTGTTACTTTAATCCAGCAATGGCATTTCTATTATAATCTCACAAACACGTTCATCTGCACAGACTGAAAGATGCTTATAGCAGCGCATCCACAGAGACACACAGACTCATCTGGAAAAGAGTTTCAGCAGGAGAGGAGAGGAGAGGAGGCCCTGATTCATGATCCAAAAAATATCTGTGTCAAATAACAGTCAACTGAGAGCGTATCACAAAAGAGACCTGAGTCAACTCTTATGTTAATGCAATGTGAACGCAAGAAGAACTGACTTATTTTGCACTAAATTCAGTTCCGAGTCAACTAAAAAAGTGCAAGTTTGGTTATTTTAAACAAAGCAAGTGTGAATGCAGTTTTTGCTCATTGTTTTGATGTTTCGATGGGACTTCAGCCTTGATATCTGAGCAGCAGCTTCATGCGATGCTGAATGTTGATCATGTCACAATTGAAACTGCAATCTGATTTTCTGACCAAATCGTGCACAGATGAAAGCATTAGGCACTCGAAGAATAAGGGTGAGAAATCTCTGAAGATTTCTGAAGCGCATAGATGGAAAGACGAGAGAGCAGCAGCACAATGAGGCTCGAGTCATGAAAGAGAATGAGAGATGAGCGAGAGAGTGTGTTTGTAAGACATCCATACAAAAGACAAGAAAATGATGCTTAAGAGACTGCGACAAACTCAACTCCTCCTCGATCTGCATCTTGAGGGTTTATGTGATGTTTTCTGGGTTTCCCCTCTCATTAATTTGTAATGTCAAGGAGCCGGTTCCCTGCGATAATGACCACTGTAAGCCGTCTGAAATGCTGTTATGAGGCTCAGCACTTGAAGGTCTTGTTTTTCCAGGCTCATCTGCACTAATGAAGAGCTGGAGTCATGGAGCTGCATCATTTGCTAACAGTGGTACGGGCACAAAGGACTGTATTACAATAATC